CCACTTCAACTCCCCCTCCCACTCCTTGGACAACATGTCCAACCTGGCCCTCCTCCAGTGCCACAACAATGCCACCCGAAGGCTGCAGGAACAGTAGCTCATATTTCGCTTGGGAACCCTGCAGCCCAATGGTCTCAATGTGGAATTCACAAGCTTCAAAATCTCCCCACCCCAACCTCATCCCAAATCCATCCCAGCTCATCCCCGCCTACCTGACCTGTCCGTCTTTTCTCCCACCTATCCACTCCTCTCACCTCACTGACCAACCCCCACCCCCACCTACCAGCCTCATCCCCGCCACCTTGACCTGTCCGTCTTCCCTTGACTGACCAACCACCATCCTAACTCTCCACCTACACTCATCTTTACTGGCTCCATCCCCGCCTCCTTGACCTGTCCGTCTCCTCTCCACCTATCTGCTCCTTTATCCACCTTCCATCCGCCTTCCCCTATCTCTCTATTTATTTCAGAATCCCCTTCCTCTCCCCCATTTCTGAAGAAGGGTTCAGACCTGAAACATCAGCTTTACTGCTCCTGTGATGCTGCTTGGCCTGCTGTGTTCATCCAGCTCTACACCTTTTTATCTCAGATTCTCCAGCATCAGTATTTCCTACTATCTCTGAATTGAGAAACATACCGAGCTTTCAGTCAATGAAATTGGGGACGTTGGAAAAAGAACAAAAAGAGATGTGTGTGGTGGGAATGATAGGTGAGAAACATTAACTGGTGAAAAATTTGGTTGTGCAGGTCCATGGAGAGTGATAAAGATGGCGGTGGAGTAGGACATCTCAGACGGAGCTCATCCGCTCTGACTGCTTCTTTTCTTTGTTTTTGTCTCTTGTATTTTTTTTCCTTTTCCTTCTCAGCGATGTCCTGAACTCCTGGCCTTAGCACGGACTCGGACTTTGGGCCTCAGCATGGACCCAGCGTGGCCGTCTCTCGCCTTGTCATGGTGGCCTTTTGGCCTGGCGTGGTTGTCTCCCAGCCCGATGTGGCAGTCTCTTGGTAGCTTGGCATGACCTCAGTGTGGACTTCCAGCATTGAGAAGATTCCAAACGGTCTCCTGGTCTCAAGGTGAAGCCTGGCACAGTTTGGAGTCAAGGCCCTGCACAGACTGAAAGCTAGGTGCCGCATGGACTGGGTTGAAAGGACTGTTATTCCAAACTTTTTATTTCTTTATTTTTCTAATTGTTTCCCCTAAGAACCTGCACTTAAGAATCTGTATCTAGGTACCGTTGTTCCTAAGATGGTGCCAAAAGTGGCGACTTGTAAACTTTTCACTGTACTCATTTGACAATAAACCTAATTCTAATTCTAAACCTTAACAAAAGCTGTGACTACAGGAGGTGTGAATGGTAGAACGACAAACAACTGCAATCTGACACAAAAAGTGGATGGCAAATGTGCAATGAAAATGGAACGAAAAGGGGACAGAGATTTGAAACTGTTTAACTTAATGATGAATCCAGAAGACTGTAAAATGCTTAATCATAAAATGAGGTGCTGTTCCTTCAGCTTGCATTGAGTTTCACTGGAACACTGCAACAGAACAAGGACAAAATAGTCAGTACAACAGCAAGGCAGAGAATTAAAATGACAGTTCACTGGGAGCACAGTATCATGACTGCAGATTGATTAAAGCTGTTCTACTAAATTTCTTTTAAATTCTGCATGGGATGAGGGCATCACTGACTATACCAGGATTTATTGCTTATCTCTAATAATCCTCGAGTAGGTGGTGGTGAGTTGTCTTGTTGAACTGCTGTAATTCTTAGAATTTAGACATACCCACAATACTGTTACGTATTCTAGGAAGGGAGTTACAGGATCTTTACCCCATAGTGTAGGAACAGCAATATAATCCCAAGTCAAGATGGTATGTGACTTGGAGAGGAACTACATAGTGTTCTGGGTGGTAGTGGTCGCAGATTTGTATGTAGTACCCAATCCACATTTAGTCTCCCAAGTGTAGAACAGATGACATTATGAGCAGCAGGTAAAGTGTACTGAATTGAAAGAAGTACAGTTACAACATTTAAAGGCATCTGGATGGGTATACGAATAGGAAGAGTTTAGAGGGATATAGGTCAATTGCTAGCAAATGGGACTAGCTTAATGCAGGGCATCTGTTGGTATAGACAAATTGGGACTGAAGGGTCCGTTTCTATGCTGTACAGCTCTATGACTCTAAGTACGTAAATTATTGTTTCACACATCAGGAACGTTTGGGGCCTGGTTTGATGAGAAGAGACCTCTGTCATTGCACAGGGAGGTGCCATTGCAAGAAGGATGGGTTATTGGAGCTGTTCAAGGACAGTTCAAGAGTGTCACAGGGGGAATAGTCTGGTTGGAATGCTGAAAAAGGGCATGTATTTGATGGTGGCATCATTTCTGGAGGTGGCAGAAATAGCACTGAATGCAGGGGTTGGTGGGTGTGGAAGCTGAACACAAGGGAACTCAGTTATGGTTCTCGAAGGGAGGGTGAGAGGAAAAGTGCAGGCAATAGGATAAAAATGGTCAAATGTCCTGGCAACCACTGGGGTGGCCAATCTTTGATGAGGAAAGAGGAAGACATACTGTATCAGCAGCATCGATATACATGGTTGTATCACTAAGAGTGGTAAAGCAAATGGAGAAACTGGGAAAATGGAATGGAGTCCTCACAGAAGGCAGGATATGAGGTAGTTTAATGCAGCTAAGGAAGTTGGAAAGCTAATAATGAATGGTTGTTGATATCTTAATGCCAGAAATGGAGAAGGGAAGAGTCAGAGATGAGCTGTGTGAAGTGAGAGAAGGGGTGAAAATCAGCAGCAAATCAAGGAGGCTTTTCACTTAACGGCAGCAAACAGCACTGTTCCATAGAGGCAGCACGGAAGTGGTGAGGGCCAGGACCCGAGTAGGACAGGAATATGGGATGTTCCCCATACCTCACACCCCACAATATGACAGGCAGCACTAGCACCCATGTGGATGCTTGTAGCAACATCTTTCATTTGGGGGAAGTGAATTGAGTTAAAGGAGAAGTTGTTCAGAGTGAGAAGAAAGCAGCCAGGAGGAAGAGGGTGATGGTGGGTAGGACCATTTGGGCTCTGGTCAATGTGGGTCACAGAATCTGCAGACTGACGGTGAGAGGTTGGAAAGGAATTGGGCATTGCAAGGGGAAAGGAAATGTTTAATACCAGATTATCTCGTTTCTAATGTTGTTTTAGGGACCCATAACGACCAGGAGGGAATCCCTGACTTTTATTTGAATTGCCATGCACACCCACGTGACAGGGCAGGCAGAAATCCGTTTAATATGCCACAATGAAAGGATTCCAGCAATGGTGCCTCCGAACATTTGACGCTGAAGTTCTCAGACAGAGCGTTCACCCACAACCTTTAGAGAAGTGCGTGTTTCATTCAACTAGTAACACTGTTATTCTTATCGGAATAGTCATGGACTTTTTCAAACACACCTGGATAGGTTGATGTTACCTGGAAGACAGTAGCTGAGACAAAGTGCGAAAAATATAACGTTCTTTCCTAATAGGGCTATCCCACATGCTGAAAATTATCAAAGATTTTTTTCACCCAGCTTTGATAGGTTTTGCACGGTATCTGGATGGGCGGGGTAACCACATGATCAATGACACACTACAATCTTCTAACCAATCATACAATTACACACGTTTAAAAAAAACATGAGCCGAAAATCACAAAACAAGTGCTAGGACCTGTAGCTCATTCAACATATGTAGGGCAAAAAAAAAATTCGTTTGGAATAGGTGATTGTCTGAACTCAATTAAAAGTAGCTCCTAACTCATTTGATCAGCAAGATTTGATTTCCAGCATTCCTTATTTTGCCCTAACCAGTATTAAAAACGTAAAATTGGAATGCAAAAGCAAACATCTTTTGCAACCTCAAAATAATTAATTAAAGGTCTCGGGATTGCACGGAGTTCTCAGCAGAACTCCCATGACGTGCTTTGGATTGTATCAATGCAGGCCTGGCAATGTGTCCAAGCTAGGTTCAATTGAGGCATTCAAGAGAGCATTAGATGATTATTCAAAGAAAAACATCGTGCAGTTTTCGAGTGGTGGACACCGCAGAGGGTGGGTGTACTATGACCGCTCCCTCCCCCGGAAGTCTGAAGTTCGATGAGTTTCTGTTCTTTCGTCAGTTTCCGATAATGTTTCGATTTGTGTGCGCGGGTGGTGGAGGGGTAGGGTAGATGCAGGTGCTTGGCACCACGTCAAATGCTCTGACAGCTCCAATACAGACGCGGTGGGCTGTAACGGCCTCCTCCTGTACCGTAAGCATTGTGCGAATGTGATTGTTATGACCGGGGCTGCCTGGCACCGTGAATAAACCAGAGGTTCTTCGCCCCCACCCATCACCCTTTGATCGTAACGAACGAGCGGCTCCCCTCCACCGCGCCCGGACAGTAATTAATGCGCGGCTCTCTTTCCCAGACGGTAACGAACGAGCGGCTCTCCTCTGCCCCGGACGGTAACAAATGAACAACTCCCCTCCACCGCTCCCAGATCGTAATGATCGAGCGGTGATAAACGAACGGTTCCCTTCCACCGCCCAGGACGGTAACAAACGAGCAGCTCCCCACCGCCCAGGATAGTAGTGAAAAAACGGTTCCCCTCCACCGTCCCGGACAGTAATGAATGGAGCGGCTCTCCGCCGCCCCGAATGTGACTTTCCGGACGGGAAATTCCGCCCCCTCCGAGCTGCGCTCGCCTCCCATTGGCCGCGGCCCTTGTATCAAGATTCCATTTTGAACGTCCCCGGCGGCAGGCCCCGCGCTGATTGGCTGCCCGCCGCGTCACAATGGATCCTGTGTCATTTCGGTCACTGACGTTCCATTTGATGCGGGAGTTTCTGAACCGGGGGATACCGGGGCTGAGGGGAGGGGGGCATCGGGGGAAACTTTACAGCCTCAATCTCCAGAGGGTGGGGGCGACGAATTTACCCAGGGGAAAAGGGAGGGTGGGGAGGGGACGGATGCAAACTTTGAGAAGCCCGGATCGTTCCCAGTGGATCAGCTTGGGCCGCATTGGGAGGCGGTAGTCTAACTTCATCCCCGGGCCGGTAGTCGGATATGCCCACGTCGGGGGCCTCAAGGAAGGGGATGATGGACTCGCAAAGCGGGACGCACTAACGCCGAAGGATCACTGAAGCAAAGACATTCACTCCCGGCTTCGCCCCCCCGCCACCCCGTGGAGAGGAGAGGGCGGCTGGGGCACCAGATTCTTCCGACGGGCGCGCCCCTTGGCCGCTTTGACTGACTGTCTTGCCTTGCGGGCGGCTGTGAAGTTAAGAAATCTTGCCACCCTTCCAAAACTACTGTGAGTTCCTTCGTGTAGTACAGCTCGAGTGCAGCCACACCCTCCCTGTGCTTCCTGATAGGGGATGCAGGCTCCTAACTGAATCTGTCTGCCATTCCAATACAGCAAAAGCCACCGCAATCGCAACGGCTGACACTAGACTTGTGGGGGGTTATTACTGAACATCGTTGGACGAAAAGAAATACATCTCCTTAAAATCTCAAATCACCGAAAGAAAAAGAAGGTGGAGAAAGCAAAAGTGAAGTCGCCTTGTGGGAGTTTTTCTTTGAATTCTGGCGGAAATCTGCAACATCAGCCCCCAAACCAGAAGTGAAATCTGATTTTCTTTTTGTGTGCGCGCGCGTGAGAGGGGGAACAGAGGATAATTTCTCCTTTTTTAAAAAAAAAATCAACCCCCCCCCCCGTTCCAGATGCTCTCCTAGAAAGCGACAGCATCGGAGGAACAAAATCCAACTCGAGGACAAGGATTCCCGGCGAGAAGTTAAACCAAAACAGCCTCATGTATGGAGCCAGGAGGCGGTGGAGTTCCAGACTGAGGACATGCACATTGGGTTGTGCTGGGCAAACGGATTAAGAGCGGGAGGAGTGCCCGTGTCTTTATTTGATTATTTGGGCAGCGGGACCTCTGTTTGCAAAACCGGCGGCGAGGAACTGAGCTTGGCATCGACTGCGAATCCTCCTTTCCGTGGAGCAGGAGGGCGAAAGAATTCGTTGATTGTAATATTTTGTTTGATTTTTGTTTTGCATTCTTGGATCACTGAGCCCTTTCCTTTCCGGTCATTGATGGGACGATGATGCGAGCGGACGGAGATCCTGGGCTCAATAGGAACGGTGCTGGTCTCCCAAGCGGCATGCGAGAGGCCGCTCGGCACTATGGCTAGTAGCGGCTCGGCCAAGTCAGGGGCGAGCGGTTCGGTTTCGGGCTCGGGTTCCCAGCAGCGGCGGAGACTGGTTTTCGTCTGCGACATGTGCAAGAGCAAGATGCAACTGGTGGCCGACCTGCTGCTGCTGTCCGGCGACAACCGCCCGGTGCACAGCGAGAGCCTGGCACCTGGGCCCGGCCAGTCCTTCGACAAGATCCGGGACGCGGTGATCGCCCGCACCAAGGGGCTCTCCATCCTCACCCACGACCTGCAGAGCCAGCTCAACCTGGGCCGCTACGGCGAGGTGGCCGAGCGCCTGGCCGAGCTCAGCGAGCTGGTGGTGGCTCTGGTCGAGTGTTCGGCCCACGCCGCTTACCTGGCGGCGGCCGAAGCTCCGGGCTCGCAAGCGGCTGTGGCCGGTCTGGTGGACCGTTACCGGCTGCGGCGGGCCCGCCACGAGGTGGAGCAGAGCTGCGGGCTGCTGCGGACGGCGCCGGTGTCCGAGCTTACCCCGCCGCTGCTGCTCGAGGTGTCGCGGGGTCTAGCGAGGGGTCTCCGCGGGCTCACTGAAGCCTGCGCTCCGGCCGGCCGAGGCAGTGGGGACCGCTTCGCCCGCGACCAGCTCCGCCTTGGGGTCAAGTGCATGAGCGCTAGCGCCGCGGCCCTGCTGGCCTGTGTACGGGAGCTGAAGGCTCGGCCGGGTGAGGCTAGCCGGGCCCGCTGTGTGCTGTTCGGGGGCCCGCTGCTGCAGGCCGTGCACGCCCTGGTCGGCTTCGCCAGCGAGCCGCAGTTTGTGGGCCAGGCGGCGGCTCTGAGTGCCGAGGGCCGGGCCGTGCAGACCGCCGTGCTGGGCGGCGCCATGAGCGTAGTATCGGCCTCGGTGCTGCTCACCCAGTGCCTCCGGGACATCGCGCTGCACTCAGACAGCAGCAAGGTGCCCGACTACCGGCAGCGCCTGCACCATTCGGCCCTGGCCGTGTCTGACGGCTGTAACCTGCTGTCTCAGGCGCTGCGGGAGAGATCGTCTCCCCGGACCCTGCCTCCTCCTCCTCCTCCTCCTCCGCCCCTCAATTGTCACTCTGTGAATTAATTCCCTCCTTGTCCCCCCTCTCCCGCTTTCACCCTCCCCATCCCCCCCCCCGTCCCCGCCTCTCCCGCTTTCACCCCCCCACCCCCTCCTTGTGGCCCCTCCTCACCCCCTCCTTGTCTCCATCTCCCTCTTTCATACTGCCCCACCCCTCCTTGCTCCCCCAACCCCCTCTATATCCCCGTTACTTCATCCCTCTGCACCCCCATCCCTCGACTCCCTATTTCCCCCAATTCTTCCTCCCCATGTCCCCATCCCTTTCCCCCTTACCCCCTCTGTCTCTTACACTTCCCTATAACCCCCCACCCCCTTATGCAAAAGACATTGTTTCCCCCTCTTCAATACCAAAGAATCCTCGGGCACCGACCGCTGTGTTCTGTGTGTGGAAGTTTGCGTGGGTTGGTGTTCGTTTTCCTTTCCCCTTTGCTTTTGTTTTTGGACACTTGGCACCAGACCAGGCCCTTAGGCCCACCGTGCCTCTACTAGCTCTTTGACAGAGCTCTTTCCACTGGCCCCCTGACCCAGAGACAGACGGCTTTTACACTAACCCCCTGGGGGGAGGTTTCAAACCAATCAGACCAAGACACAATGAACTGATGGAGGCTTTAATCGTGCTGGGTGCGGTTGGGATAGAAAGTCAGTGTCTTGGGGCTGTCCTATTGTTTGTTACAGCGGGGTGATTTTTTAAAAAAAGTGTCAAATCGAGTCAATTAACATCATGGTTTAGAAAGGGGACTTACCTCAGTTAACAGAGTGCACACACAAACACACATTACCAGCGGGGTGGAATGTAGCTCCGTCATGTGTGATCTATGGAGTCAAATGGTAAGAGAGAGAAGTGAGTCTGGTGTTCGCGAAAGGGAGTGTGCAGTTGTGATCGTGATCTTTTCACGTCTTGATTTTTAAAAAGTTGGGATAAAGCTGCTGTGAGTGTTTTTTTTTCCAGTTTTACACTATTTGCCAGACGTGGAAGTCGATGTCAAGTTTTCTTGCATGTACTGGAGTATTTATTTCAACATTAAAATGTTATGTTTCTCATGAGATTTTGTTAACTCTGTTTAGGAGGTTTTTTTGTTCAATATTGTATAGTCCAGTTATATATCAGAGAACTTACTGTGAAAGGAATATCTGCAAATACAAGGGACTTGTATACAGAGGTTGCTGTTGTGTGTCTAACTTGAGCCTTTTTACCATGTGTTCTAATTGCAGCTAACACAACAATGTGATCTATGTCATGAATTGCCCCTTCCAACTAAAACTTGAGTCGTAAATGCTATATCCTTCACCGTTTAGTCTGCCTTTGTAAATGTAGAAGTGTTAATAACTATAGCAGTACAGAGAAAAGATTGCAACGTTTGCCCAAACTGACCATTGTCTCTGGTTACTAATATTCCTCCTCTTTTTATTTTGCAATCATTTATTTTGATTGTGCTGTGATTTGCCCACCCTTGTGCATTGCCCTGGTACTCTTCCTCCACTTCTACTGTCAGTATAAGTCAGCACTTTACGTAGACTGATACAGTAACTTAAACCTGTACTCTCAATACACCGCCTTTATCCACTGAGGCACTGGGGTGTTGAAATCTTCCATTTCCTTTTGGAGACTTGTTAAAATTCATGCTTAGGATCTGGGCATCATTGATAAGGACAGCATTTTGCTGAGTTGTCTTGAATTGCTGCAGTCTTTGATACAACTGCATGACTTGTTTGGACACTTCGGAGGGTAGTTAAGAGTCAGTCATCTTGGAGTGGAGCCATGTATCGCCCAGACTGGGCAACAATAGCAGGTTTCCTTCCCTAAAGGATGATGGTGATCTGAGTTGTGTTTTCACAACAATCTGACAACTTCACAGTCACATATACTGATGTCTTTCTATTTTTCACATGATTTTTTTCTTAAACTGAATTCAAATTCGCACATTGCCTGGTGGCACTAGAACTTAATTTTCTAGTTCACTAATGCTCCATACCAAATTGTTTTCTACAATTGCTGTTTGAAACTTACTAGCCCCAGTCGGTAGTATAAATCAATGTGATAACCAGACTTGATCACCTTTCCCAAAAAGCGAGAACTTGCATGTTTTAGGATCTCTGGAGATTTGAGATGATTTGTAGCTAGTTCTAGTCATACTGTAGGAAATGCAGCAGCCAGTTTGCACCAGTGAGGTCCCACCAACAATAAAGTTATAACCAGATAATCTGTGTTAGTCTTGATTGAAGTATACATATTTGTTATGTCACTAGAGAGAACTCTCATTGTGAAGTAGGGGTAATTGGGCCTCAGTTTAATCTCCTGAAGAGCTTTTCCCTTTAGCTCAAACCCTCCAATCCTAGCAACATCCTTGTAAATCTTTTCTGAATCCTTTCAAGTTTCACAACATCCTTCCTATAGCAGGGAGACCAGAATGCCATGCAGTATTCCAAAAGTGGCCTAACCAATGATCTGCACAGCCGCAACATGACCTCTCATCTCCCATACTCAATGCACTGACCAATAAAGGCAAGCGTACCAAACACCACCTTCGCTATCCTAACCGCCTGTGGCTCCACTTTCAAGGAACTATGAACCTGCACTCCAAGGTCTCTTTGTTCGACAACACTCCCCAGGGCCTTACCATTAAGTGTATATGTTCTGCCCTGATTTGCCTGTCCAAAATCCAGCACCTCACATTTATCTAAATTAAATTCCATTGGCTACTCCTCAGCCCATTGGCCCACCTGATCAAGGTCCCATTGTACTCTGAGATAACCTTCTTGGCTGTCCACTTTTGATGTCATCTGCAAACTTACAAACCATACCCTCCTATATTTACATCTAAATCATTGATATAAATGACAAAAAGCAGTGGACCCAGTACCGATCCTTGCCTCCAGTCTGAAAAGCAACCCTCCACCACCATTCTCTGTCTCTTACCTTTGAGTTAGTTATGTATCCAAATGGCTAGTTCTCTCTGTATTCCATGTGATCTAACCTTGTTAACCAGTCTATCATGTGGAACGTTGTCAGACGCCTTACTGAAGTCCATATAGACCAAGTCATTAATCCTCTTTGTCACATCCTCAAAAGGAGGTTTAAAGGAAATATGCAAGGCAAGTTCTTTTTGCACAAGCTAGTGGGTGCCTAGAATGCGCTGCCAGGGTAAATGGTAGAAGCAGATATGATAGCAGCATTTAAAAGGCATTTAGATAGACACATGAACAAACAGGGAATAGGTCAATAGGGACCACGTGCAGGCAGAAACCGTAAGTTTAAAATAGCATTTTGATCGGCATAGACACGGTGGGGCGAAGGGCCTATTCCTGTGCTGTACTGTTTTATGATACTTCCAATAGTGCAGCACTCAGTATCTTGCTGAAGTGTCAGCTTGTATTAAGTGCGCAGGCTTCTGAAATGAGTTGTGAGCTTACAAAGGTTTGCATGAGAGGTATGAATGCTCACATCTGTCATCTAATCAAGCTGAATTAGCTTCTTTTACAAACCTTTAGAAAATTGCAAGCTTTGTAACTTCTGACAAAATACTCCACAGTTAAGTGTCAAGAGGTTCCATAGCAATTGCTGGTAGAGAAACCTATCAGTTCAAACACACATCTAATTCTTGGGGACGTGTGTTCAAATCCCAACACACTAGCTTGTGAAATTTAAATTCAGTTTTAAAACAAAATCAAGAATATAAAGCCAGTCTCTGTAATGGCGCAATGAAATTACCATCGGTTATTGTAAAAACCCATCCATCCTTTTAGGGAAAGAAACCATCCATCCATACCTGCTCTAGCCTACGTGTGACTCTAGATCCACAGCAGTGTGGTCGACTTTTAACTGCCTTCTGAAACAGCCAATCAAGCCACTCAGTTTAAAAGCACTTCAAGATGGACAATAAACACTGGCCTTTCTGTGAAGCCAATGTCTCGTGGAAGAGAAGACAGTTTGAGATATAGAATTCTTTATGAGTCTATTACAATCTATATATTAAAACATCCTATTTACACGTCATTTATTTTAAACTGTTTGTTCATTCAGCATTTGAGAGAAAATGTTGAACCAAATCTAATTTCAAACAAAACTGATTAGACATGTAAAATATCCTGTTGTCTTGGTGTAATTTGATCCAGTATCTAATGTGCTATACAGCTTCTAACAAAAAATCACATCCTATGTTTCAATCAGGAATTTGATGCAATAGCAGTGATAACAGTGAATTATGTTACGGTGCCCTGAAATACTATACCATATTCAATCTATTGTTAATACTGACTTGGCACATCACTGGGTGAAATAATCAGATTTTGCAGACTCGAGTGTGTAGCAGTGTTTTAAATTCATTGATGGAATGTGAGCAAGGCTAAAATCCATTGTGCATCCCTAACTGACTTGGAGAATGATGATGGGGTACCTCCTGGCATTGCTGCTCTCAATGTGGTGATGGGACTTCCCAGTGCTGTTAGATAGGGAGTTGTGGAGTTTGGACCCAGGTAGAAAGAACAATGACTATTATACTTTCAAAATAGGATGGTGTGTGTAACTTGGAGAGGAATGTGTTGGTGCTGCTGTTCCCATGAGCCCACTGTCCTTTACCTGGTAGGTGATAGCAGTCACAAGTTTGCAACTGAGGGAGTGTTAGCAATGTTGCTGGAGTGCCACTTGTAGATATCAACACTGCTGCAAGAGTCTAGTGACTGGGGATAAATGCACATAAATCCATTATTCTGTATTGAACTTAAACTGGACTTGCTTTGATGTAGTCAAGAGATGTGTAAATGTTCCACAGGCTTAGACTGCAATGGGTATGGAGTAAGGAAATGTCTCTCCTGTTCTGTGCCTTGGCTTTAAGCTGTAGAACCCCTTTCATTCTTTTTGATGCTTCTTAAAATTTACATCTGACCAAGCTTTTAGTCACCTGTTCTACTAACTTCTCCTGTGGCTGTGTGTTTAATTTGTCTGATAATGCTGCTATGATGGTATTTTGCTACGTTACTGTGCAGTATAAAAGAAAGTTGTGTTGGTAAATGTGGCTGCTGTCTTTAAAGTACCAAGAATAATGGATTCTGTATGTTATATTTCAGGACCACTTCACCTGAAAGTTTGTGTGTGTGTGCGTGTGTGTCTAATTGTAAGCCCACCATTTACAGCGAGTATTGATTGCACTGAAGTCATTGCAGATCTGTCTGCACAGATGTATTGAAATAGCAACCATGACTTTAGAGGGGTATTTTAATCTAACTGATTGGGTGGAATACCAAGGTGATTGGGCGGAAGGTCAGTTTTGCATTTCACTGATTTTCACAAAGATGTAAAATCAGTGTCTGACCCAATAACGTTGCAGACATGCCAGATTGAGTCTCCTACTGCTAGGGTATCACCCGATCACTCTGGGGCAGTGCCCTGTCTAAATTTATCTTGGCCTGCACAGCTCTTTCATTTGAATGCATGGTACCTCTTTTCCGGCTTGGCACAGGCAATCTCAAAGGGAACAAATTGTGAGCACCCAGCCTGGCACTTTCCAAGTTGCTGCATGGCCACTGAAGGTCTAGTCGTTGCTGGCCCATTGGTCAGCTGGTGACTCGACATCTTGTCATAAGCCACTGGCTGAAATAAAATAGTGAGCTATGCGGTCCACTGGCCACAATGATGCCTGCCTAATTGGCAGCAGCATGGTACCTCAGGGAAAATGCCTGGTTTGGTGGGTTTCTGTGTCAATGACTGTGTTACCTGCAATCCACCACTGCTGCTAGAATATAAACCTAACATTGAAAGCTTGATTATGTCGGACAGTCAGACGTTTCCACTTGTATTAATGGGAATTGGAATTATAAAATGGTGTTCTCTTTGGTATTGGGTTGCTTTAAATTTGTTGAAGTTGCAGTTGTCAGCAGTCACTTGCTATTGAGTATGATTGTCCACCTTGGAAATTCTGTGTCACTGGTCTGGGGCTCTGTGGGTCCTTGTGTGGCTGATGAATCCAATCCTAGAGCCACATCTCCAACCACACATTTGGAAGGTGTTTCTGGGAAGCGGCATTGGTCCTTAGCCCTGAGATTACCGG